CCCCAAAACCCCAAAACCCCAAAACCCCATTTAAAAGATGAATGGACAAAAAATATAATATATTGTATGCAATTTAATCTAACAACTGTATTCATAATTTGGTTGGTTACTTTATTCTTACCAATTTAGACTCATTGGAATAATTGGATACCTACTCAACAAGTTCATCCTAAAGCCGTATAGAAAGAGAGCATATTATCAGAAGCAAGGTAAGTCCTACCTTTGAGACCTCCTATAGGTGCCTCTGTAGGGATGACGCCTAAATTCAACCCATTCTTGGGAGATTACAAGTTAATTCTTGAAAATTACCAAGACAAGGGAAAGTTCATTGGCCATTACGCAAGAGATTTAGCTCTGCAGGAGAACAAGAGTCCTCTCTACATCTTCCAAATCCCGAACAAGGACATCCTTTGCTTTAGAGATGTCGAGTATCTCTCGGAGCTTAACAAGCTTATTCCAAAGTATGTTGACAGAGAGCCAATTGATAACTCAGGATTCGGAAAAATCGGATCAACAGGAGGTCTTGGCCAATCAAGAAGTACCAAAGAATGGAGAAACCGAAGGGAGACTCTGATGAAAACCATTGGTATTAACCACGCTTCGAAGTTTATCCCTCTGTTCCTAGACCATTTCCAACATAACTTTGGGTCTATCAAGACCAATCAGGAGATCAACTTCAGCCAGGTTGCCAACACCTCGGTATTCAGCTTTATTCTTAGCTTGATCTTCGGCAAAAATGTCCTTGACCAGATTGGGTTATGCAACTACGAACAGAAGGATGGCTCAATCAAGCAAATGAAGCTCTATGATTGCATGATGACCATGAGCGATGACATGACTTCTGAGTCTCTTCAACTCTACAACGTCCTTTTCCCAGAGCTCATTGACTACAACCTTGCCACAGAAAATAGAAGAAATGAGAGAAACAATAAAGAAATTGGAAGAATTTTAAATGAATTTATCGACCAATCAAAAGAAACCAACTCAGTCTACGCTCAAGTGATCAGAGAGCTCAAAAATGAACCTCAACAGCAGATCCTCTCTGACTGTATCTCCCTCTTGATCGGAGGACATGAGACCACCTTTATGTCATTTTCCTCTGCAGTTTATTGTTTGAAATAAATACCCAGAGACTCTCAAGAAGCTAATGCAGGAGATAAACACGATTATAACGGAAAATGGCAAGATTCCACCAGAAGAGTTCATCAAAAATTTCGATCATAAGAAATTGGATGAGATGGAATACCTTTCAATGTTTATAAAAGAAGTAAGCCAATCAGATTTTTAAACTTCAAATCATGTTCTTACAAAATTTACGTCATTCCTTTGTACCAATAACATCTATAGGTACTGAGACTCCATCCATCAGCAAGTAGGTCACTAGGATACAAGGCCTTAAAGACTCTGAAGATAAACGATGTAATGATCCCAAAGGGAGAGATCATCACATTTGATGTCATCGGCTGACTCGTCAACCCAGAGCAATGGAAAGATCCCCTGAACTTCATCCCAGAAAGATTTGACCCATCTAGCGAGTACTTTAAAACACCCAGCGATAAGAACAGACATCCTCTTGCCTATATCCCATTCACTTTAGGAAGCAGGACTTGCCCAGGAAGATCTCTAGGTACGCCCTGCTCTCACCTCTCTAGCAATGCTTGAGCTCAAAGTAGCAATAGTCTATTTCTTGCTAAAATTCGAGTACCAAATCAACGAAGCCGACCTCCAAAACCCAGATATGACATTCAGCATTTACTCGCCATTCGAGCTGCACATGAAGATCACTGAGGTAAAATGCCGATAACTCAAATTTGCCTAAAAATATTCCCAAAACTCCTTGGTCCTATACTTAATTTCTTCCCGAATCTTGGCATCAAATCCTTGGAAAAGACTATTAAAAATATATTCCCATATTGATCCATAAAGCTTTTGCTCATTGGGGTTTTGGGGTTTTGGGGTTTTGGGGTTTTGGGG